TGCACACTGGGGGCGGGGGGGGAGGTGCTGTGAGCAGGTGAAAAAGCAAGAGCAACTTGCCAGAACAACTTCCAACCTGCCCTGCCAGTCATCCCATTGACTTTGCTTGTAAGAAGCCGGCAGGGAAGGTCGCAAATGGTGATCCCATGACTGAGGCTCCCTGTGACATTGTAATTGTGAGCCAGGCACCCAAGTACCAGATTATGATCACATGACCACGAGGGTGCTGCAATGGCCAGAACTTCAAGGACCAGTTGTACATCCATTTTTTTCAGTGCCGCCATAACTTTGAACAAATGGACATAAGCCGAGGACTACCTGTAATTTATTAAACTTGTATGCTATCCAACTCTCAACAACTCTGGGTGGCTCACAACAGTCAAACAAAGAAATTACAATAAAATGAACATTTCAATAAGCTTTCCTTCAAAATAATGGGCCACAGAGTGAAGCCTGCTAGGCCACTCAGCCTCAGCACCTTTAAGATATGGGGACTTCAACTCCCAGAATTCCCCAGCCAGCAACAAAACATTCCATCTCATCTAGGTCGGGGCGTGCCTCGTACGCAGGTAGGCGGGGCAATGGTAGGGAGGCGTGGCTTTGCCTTTTTCCCAACACGCCATCGGTTAGGAAAGAAAAAACGAGGGGGCGTTACCGCGCCAGCGCGCGAGAAGCGTGTTGACGTCATGCCGCCGAGCGCCCGTGCCTTTTGTCCGCATTCGAAAGGCGCGGCCTGAATTGAAAGGGGCTGCCGCCGCCATCGCCGCCGCCCAGGCACGGTCAAAGCAAAGGTGGGCGGGGGATAGCCTGCCGTGGGTAGGCTGAGGTGCTGGGGCGTGGCTATGGCCCTCTCACGCTTTCGGAGGGAGGCGGGGCGTCTGGCAGACACGCCTCCTAGTTGCTTGCCCCGCCCCTTCCTTGTCCTTGTGGCCCAGGCCACGTGAGAACCAAACCCGCTGTGGGGAGGAGTGCGCGCGGGCATAGTTGGGGACGGCGAGCGAGTGAGGGGGATTCGTTCCCCTTCATGCCGTCTCTCTTCGCGGGATCTCTCTGCTGGTAAAGCGGCTGCCCTTCCTTTTCGCGTTCTCCCAGCGAGGTGCGAGGCCCTGGTGAGAGGCTAACCCAGCGCTGGAGGGGGGAGAACGTGCGCGTGGAGGAGGATCAGGCGGAGAAGTGGTGGGGGGCGCGCGAACGGTGGTCTCTGAAGCCCCAGGTCTCGCATCATCAGCCTTCATAATAACATTGCCAATATCTCTGGGCAGCCCGTGGCCGACCTTCTCGAAGCTGGATGGCTGCCCCCCGAGGACTTTTTTCCCCCAAAGTTCAAGGTGGTCTATTTGGGTTGTCTACTTGTTCCCTCCCCCAGATCACATGGTCTTTGGTTGGGGGTTGTTTCCTGCTTTTGCAATAGACTAATGCAGCTTTTCTCTCTGTGGTTGAGCTGCAATAACCATTGTCTCCCCCCTAATAATAATAATTTCTTTTTCACAGCATCAAACTAAGCAAAGGAAATTGCATGCTACTTTCTCTCAGAGCTTTTCTGAAGGCAGCCAGGACCCTTAGCAGAAGTGAGAAATTGGCCTTGCTGCCAAAGAAGACACGCAGTCACACCGGTGTGTTCAGATTCCAAAACACGGGTGCCTTGCCTTTGACCAGCCTGTGGTACCACCAACCCGGCGTCTCTAGCTTTCCCCTCCCAGCAGCTTTGCATGCTTGTCATCTGACGCCCCTGTGCACCGCCTCTGAGATGGCAGAGCAGCGGTACTGCGTGGACTATGCCAAGCGAGGCACCGCTGGCTGCAAGAAGTGCAAAGAGAAGATTCTCAAGGGGATGGTACGCATTGGAAAAGTGGTGCCCAATCCCTTCACTGAATCTGGTGGAGACATGAAGGAGTGGTATCATGTCAAGTGCATATTTGAGAAACTGGAGAGGGCTCGGGCCACAACAAAGAAGATTGAAGATATCACAGATCTGGAAGGCTGGGAGGAACTGCAGGAGGGTGAAAAGGAGATGATCAATCAGCACATCTCAGGTCAGCTGTGCATCAGGGTGGTGATGGTGGTGGTTCCAAATAAAGTAAGGTTTCCCGAATATCTCTTTGCATGACCCCTGTGGAGAGGTAGAATAAATTCTGGATATTTTGAGGCTGTTAGAGTCAAACTGCATGACTGATTCTGTCAAATTACACAGGAGGACAGGTTTGGAGAAGGGCAATGAGGATTATCAGAAGTTTGGAAATTGCCCTATGAAGGCCCTGTCAGGACCTTCATAGGGCAATTTAGCACTTTTCAAATAAATGTCTCATTTTTTTAAGAATATCAAGACCTGTTCTCTGTTGTTCCAGAATTCAGGACACAGAATAATGAATAACTCCCCATCTGTTCACAGAACTTTCTTCCAAAACTGCAAACACTCCAAAGAAAAAGGCCATCATCCAGGCAAAGATTTCTCCTGGTGGACAAATAACGTCACCCAAGAAAATGCCTCTGGTTTCTTCAGATCCTTCGCCAAAGAAATTTTCAGGTTTTACAGGTATGTGAGAACTTTTACTTTCTTGCAACATATTGCTGACATTTCATTTTGAGTCAGGGTAGCAGTGGAAGAAAAATAATAAGCTGTGGCTGATCTTGGTTCAGCAACCTATTAGCAATTTTTAACTTCTAAAGAAGGGAGTAGATTAAGGACAATTGTTTCAGATTTCAGTTAATGCTAAGTAAAAATGATATCTGATTGAAGTTCAGAGACGTGTTCAGTATTAAAAAAGCCACTGACTGGTTGAAGTGGACAGGATAAAACAGAAGGGTACCTGTTCATGTTAACTAGGCAGAGTAGCACAGTGTATCCTGCAAACTTACAAATTTTATAGGGCTGAGCAAAATAAAGGCCTTTGTTGTCCCAAAATTCAGGATGAGATTGGTGCTTTTTCCCTTTCTTAATGTTAAGTATTTTACAACTCTGCGTTTGTTTGTTTGTTTATTTATTTTATTATCAAACTTGTATGCCACCCATCTCCCCCAACGGGTGACTCTGGGCGGCTCACAGTAATAAAAAAGAAAAAACACAAGTCCCTCCAACCGTGGATAAAACCTATAAATAATTAAAAAACATACATTAAAAATGCCCTAAAACCTCCTATAATTTTTAGCCCTAAAAACCTGCAAGATGCTGGGGGGTGGGGGGGGCAAACCCATCGCCCCACCAGCCATCTCCACAGGCGCGGGCCCCCCTCCGGCCCCCAGGCCTTCTGGCAGAGCCAGGATTTAATTGTTCAGTTGTAACCAAGAGGCAAAGTGTATCTCTGCTGTCAGAGGTTTTGAAAAAAATGTTACGTTCTCATGAAATGCTCAGCCATGCTTGCCCTAACTACAGATCGGTCACTTCCCCAGTGACTGAGTGGCAGGTTGGTCTGCAAACTGAGGACTGCTTCCGTTTACTAAAGACTGGCCATCTTTGGCAGTGTGCCAGCCATCTTTACGGTGGCCAGCCAGCTGTCCCCTCCTGTCTTTTTTTAAATAGCATAAGAAATAAATGTGGAAGGCTCCATCAGCCGACTCGGGATCTGACTTAGCCTGGATGCAGTGGGAGGGCAAAGAGCCAGAGCGACTCCGGTCAGGTTCTTGGGAGCTGCCTCAACCTGAAAATAAGCCTTTTTCCCAGCACCAGAGTCTTCTCTAGCAACATCTATCTGTTGAAGTGAAAGGGATAGAGTTACCAAAATTTCAGCAACTGAACGGTTTCCATTGCGGACCCATTCATCTCCTAAAAGGTTAGGGTGGCGCCTTTGGACGTTTCTAATGGGTCTTTGAACTGGTAAGAATTTGGGTCTTTTTGCTGACAGCAGATGTGCTTGCAGGTATGAGAACCCGCCCTTACAGGTAGAAGCGGCCACCTCTTTTTCCCCCCCAAAAAGTTTAGCTTCCTATCTCTGTGCCCTCAGCCTGAAGAGAAGGCTGATATCAAATTAATTTTCTGAGTCTAGATCAGTGTTTCTCAAACTTGGCAAGTTTCAGCTGTGTGGACTTCGACTCCCAGAATTCCCGAGCCATCATGGCTGGCTGGGGAATTCTG